AAATAGTAATTAGAATTAGTCTTTCATTTTAAATTATTACTTTTCTACCTGATCTAATCATTATTTGTAATATTAAAGTGGGCCACAATTTGTCTCCAGTCTGAAATTGAACTGGACGGAACTATTGGGCCATGGTGGACTCGATTCTGGGTTCATATTGATAATTCAAACTATTAATGTGTAGAGCTTGTCGAATATATCATCTCTATAAAAAATTGCGTTGATCGAATATCGATAACTATTTGATCGGTATGGATTTGTTTCAACAGCAAGTAGCTATCAATGTCATATTAACGTAATTTTTTTGTAGGGATGATGTTCTAGACAAGCTCTACATATTGAACGATTTAAATTATCAAAATGAGCTCGGAGTCAAGCCCATCACAGCCCAATAGTACCGCCTAGTTCGTTTTTGGACTGAAAAGGAGCTGGGCCCGTAAAAGTAAGTATTTACTTTATTATGTAACAATTTAAAAGATACATATATTGTTCAGCAAATAAAAAATTGCACTCATATTTCATTATATATTTTTTCAATAACTTTATACATATAAACACATAGATATGGACTGAGGGTTGTTGCTTGTGAGTTATTTTGAAAGTCTTTTTTGAGTCTTTTTTATTATTCGAATCATTTATATTGCACGATTTATCGAGTATATCATTCATAAAAAAATCCAGTTAATTAGATTCCATAGTCCTAAAAGCTCTTAATTGTTTTAAAAAAATTATCAAAATGGTGTTAACCATTTATTTTTTCAAAAACAAATGTACTCTTATTATAAGGTAATAGATGTCCAATCAACTTATTTTTTTACATGAATAATTTATTCAACAAATGTTACAATATAAACAGTTCAAATCATTGATATAGACTTGGGACAAGCTCTCTTCGAGCGGCACAGCAACCTGCAGAGCACAATAGGATTCCCCATTCCCATAGATATATACATAAATAATTTAGCTAAAATTATTAATTATATATATATATTATTTATGTTGTACTTTTATATCATAAAATTAATATCATTCTTTTGTAAACATATATTGTAACATATTTTTAAAAATAATTTTTATATAGACATATATAAATAATTTAATTTAATTTTATAAAATATTATTTAAAAATAAAAAAGTTAACTTGTACATTGCTTCGATCAACTACTAGTGTTAAATAAAGAGAAAATACGGTGTAAATTTAGAAACAAAATTAGATAAAACTTATAAATATTAATAATTAAAAATCTTAAATTTTTGTATGTATTTGTAAATATTTTTTAAAAAATTCATTGAATTATAATTCTATTTTAAACTAAATTGTTATATATTAGAATATAAAAATGTTTAAATTTTTTGAAACATCATTTTTAAATTTATTTTCAATAACACATTGCTTCATTTTAATTGTCTTTATATATATATATATATATATATATATATTTATATATTTATAAATCAACCAAGTGTGGATAAATTTAAAAATAATATTTTAAATATCTCTAAAGTCACTCATTAAAAAATTATATTTTTTGACACGTTAAAATTTTAAATTAAATGTCATGTTTTAAAAATAATGTCATATTTTAATTTTGTCCTAAATAATACTATATAAACTAATAAATTTCATTAAATTTTCTTAATTACTCGAGTTTTCTCTATTCAATTATTTTACCATCTTATTTTAAACATAAATTTTATCATCACAGTAAAAAGACTTAGGAAAATATATTAATTTGTATAAATTTTATTCTCGTAATAGTGACATTTCATTTTTTTTTTTTTTGCAAACTTTTTTGTTAAGTTTTTTCATCTTTAGTGAATGTTAAAAAAAATTTACACTTTTAAATTCTACCAGACGGTACCTAAAAAGTTGAAGAAAAAATTTAACCAAAGACATAAAAAGTTAAAAATGTCAATTTTTTTCCCTTATTATTATTATTATTTATTTCTTTGTAAAAAAATTGATATCAATTAAAAAAATTATAAAAAAAAAATAATTAATTTTTTTTAACAGTCCCCAATCACAAAAGGTGGCCTAACCACATAGGAATGATCTCTGGGAGTCAGACTCTAAGAAACTGAAACTATAAAGGCCACTCAATTAAGCAGAGTTTCGAATCCATACTCCTAACAATGAGGATAGTTCACTCAGGCTCAAAAAATTTATCTTACCAATCATATATAATGTCATTCAAATAATATAATTAATCCCAAAAAAATGGTATAAAAAACCTCAAAACTCATGTCTCAAATGTCTTATCGGGCAATGATAGAGATCACTAAAAATGATATTCTATAACAATTACTAATGATGTGGTATTTATTTTTTTTTTAAAAATTAAAATAAATAAACACAACAACACTATAATAATAAATGAGACCTACTATCACATCATGAATAATAACACTAATGAATACTCTCACTCATTTTTCAAATAGATAGGTGCCCTCGCTTAGTCAAACGGCATATTCTAAGGGTGGTCCATGATTTCAAACCCAATGGATATAAATTGTAACCCTAATGGTCCCACCTTTTTAACCTATATGCTCAGTACTCTTTTACCATTGAATGTCTGTCGGCCCAATGAGAATTTTTTGGGGGTGATTTTAGATCAATATTGTACACTATTTCTCTTTTTAAAGGAGACAAGTTAAAGCACCCTATGTGCTTATTTCAAAAATATTTATTGTTTGGAATGATTTAAATAAATATATTTTTTAATTTTTTATAAAAATATATATAAAACAATAAAAAAATAATATGATAAAAAAAAAGAGATAAAAAGTGTACTTATATAATTACCAATTAGTGGAAGGTTGGAAATTTTTTATCAAAATGTGAGAAACTTTTTGGGTGTAATTTTTGCTATGTTTTTTACATAAGAAAAAGTTACACCTCCATAAATATGTAAATATTTTTAGTTAAAAATTAAGTTAGATACTGTGTAGTTTCTCCAATAAATTTCAACATTCCTAGCATGTGTGTTGGCAAAAAAAGGCTGTCCGTTTGGTATGGAGGTTTGAGACTATTTTAGTCACAAAACGTAAAATAAATTATTTTAGTCACAACAAATAAAATCTCACATCAAATCCATAATCATTACACTCTTCTCTCACAAATAAAGCTAAAAAGGTCAAAAAGCTAAAATTTTTTTCCAAACTAAGTTTTTTAACTCAGTCTAAAATAGTCAAAAAAATCAAAAAAAAACCCACTTTTCAAACGGAGGCAAACTCTGGTAGCCTTAAGCATGCTGTTTGTTGGTAAGGGAGGTGTGCATGTGAATTTGACTGGAAGTGGGCATGGTGGAAGTAAAGTGACCACACAACTGACAATTCCTAGAACCATACTGCATTTCTTGGATATGTATAGATATAAGATACATATGTATATATCAAAATGGAAAAATGTTAGGAATGACAATGGGGCAAGGCGAGTTTGTACGTTTTATCTTCATCTTTGTTCAATATCATATCTGGATCAAAAAATGAGGGAGTAGACGGAAATGTATTGGAGATGAGTTAATTTTATAACTTTAGAAATAACGGTATTAACGAAGATGTGAGATGATATGGTATATTATTATGAATTATGTTTGATAAGTGATAAGAATTAAAAGATTTAAAATGTAAAATAAGTAAGTTTAAATGAATATTAAATGTAATATTTTAATATTATAGTCTTACTATATTCAAGAAAATCAAATACAATTGAGGAGGGGGGGAAAAACTTGTCATTACTCATTGCCTGGCTCCTCATTTGGAGTGAGGAAAACCAAGGTAAGAGAAATTGCCATCTTTAGAAAATATTATACAAATTAATAAATTTTAAAATTGATGTGTCATATGGTGATAAAAAATTTAAAATTGAAATAGATTGTTCTTTAATTATATAAAAAAATGTCAAATCAATAAATAAATAATAAAAATTTATGATATTAATTATTAATATTTATAATATCGTTTACTAGTTTGTCAATAACTTCATTGTAATTCTCCCTAGAATAAAAGAACAAGTACAAGTAACACGTTGGGAAGCATGACTAGCTTACATACATACAAACATGCATTGCCTCAAATGATGTATGGTTCTTTGAATCAGCTGCGGGCTCATTATTCTAAGATTGAGGTGTAAAAATTTGGACTTTATATACCTCACATTTTTGTTGGTTCGAAAAAATTAGTTAAATAGTGAACAATTTGAAGGGGAAGGGTCTGACAAATTACAATCGTAATCCATAAATTTATATACCTCACTAAATTAAGGTATCAAATTTTTTTTATAGTGTTAATTTAGTCAAATTTAATCAAATTCAACTGTGCAATGCGTCCCAACCAATTCAAAGTACCTTAATTTTACACTCAGAAAAATTATAGGTGCTGCTACTAGCACTTGTCTAAAATTCTTGAACCTCTGGGTTACTTTTGACTTTTCACTAACAAATATAAAAATTTGCAAAATTATTTCATACAACCCACTTAATATTAAAAATAACCCCCCTCTGAAAACCCTAACCACCACCAATCAACTCTGGTCACCCTCCCCGCCCTCCGATGAGAGAAAGCAACTCTGTGTATGTGAGAGAGAGAGAGAGGTCGGGTTAGGGTTGTAAGGGTTCTACGGGAATGGCATCTGCTGAGATGGAGGTTTGCGTGGGGTAGGGAGATGCGAAGCTGGGGCTAGGGTGCCCACCAGACTCTGGGGTGAGGGAGGGTGAGAAGGGGTTGGGCTGGCAGTCAGAGTTGATATATGATCTTCAATGGTTCAAATTCTACAAATTCATAATTGGCTGATATATGATCTTCAATACTTTTTACATCTAGAGATTCTAAACCAAATTAAATCAAACTAAGCACTATGTCCCAATCAATAGGATCGGCTACATGAATTCTTTTTCACCATTCAGCTTTATCAAGGACTATACACTCAGCTAAATTAAATAAATTCATATATATATATATATATATATTTCCGCATCCAGGGATTCTGTTTGCTCAAAACATACTCAAGAGCAATACATATCACTGCAATAATATTGCATTGGAAACAAACCATGCAGAATCATCATACTTGAACTAGTAGCAACAAAGCATCACCATATCACAGCTGCAAATTGCACACGATAACCTAACCATAACTGTTACAGAAAGCCTTTAGCAAAAAATTAGACAACCAGAAAGAAAGAAACAAAACACTCTTCGCAGAACTATCCAATTCTAAGCCAAATCAACTATCCTTCACAAGATTCCATCTTTTTCTCCCACTCCATTGCAAACAAAAACAAGAACAAGAAATAAACAAGCAAGATATTCATGAACTCAATCATCTTAATTATTGTGGGGTTACCTTCCATAAGCGAAGGCAAGCATCCTCGCCAGAACTCACCACGCTGCACTCATCGGTGAAAGCTAATCCATAAACCCCACCCAAGTGAGCTCCTTTGATGGTTATACGGCTTGATGCCGGCTTGTCAATCTCGTATATAATTACACAAGTGTCAAGTGATCCAGTAGCAACCATGCTGCTATTAGGACACCAAGCCAAGCAGTTTATGCGTGCGGTATGATACAACATGTTTTTAAGCTTCACCTGCAAAACAATTTGTCAAAAATAAGGTATCAAATTTGATACAATCATGAAGGAAAAAAAATACCAACATGAATATGTCTTCCATCAGTTAAATAGAAGACATTATATGGGCAATTGGTGTCTAGATCTAGTGGTAACTTGTGGGGTCTACTAGACAAAGGACTCAAGGTTCAAATCCTATTGCAAAATTAAAAACAAAATAAAACAAGAGAGAGAGAGAGAGAGAGAGAGATCCCTCTTGCAACTGAATCATAGAGCAGGTTGTGACACCCTATACCTTCATCCTGCTTATGCAAGAAGCAACAACAAATTCAAAAAATTTGATCCGCTGCTAACATTTCAGATATTTATAACTAAACAACTAACAGTCCAATCTCTACAACTTCAGCATATTTACTGTTAATTCAAGGAAGATGCTATACAGATAACGCAACAAAATAACTTCAGTGAATCAACAAGGGATGAGTTGTTTTAGTCAGAACCCCCGTCATGATCCCAAAGTCTACTATTACTGAACAGTATCTAATTGCCATTTTTGTTGGATGGCAAAAGAACAGCTTTTGTCCATAGTAGTCGAGTCAAGTGCAAGTGCTTCTTGTAACATATCATATGTTCCACTTAGTTATATATATTTAAAAAAACAGAGTAATGCCTTACTCTAATTTGCTTATGCCACTAAAAAAAGGTCTGGTAAAATGCCAAGAGGAAATTAATGGATTAATATATTTTTTACACTTGGTTAACAAATAAAAAGGTATTTTGTACATGTTTAAAACTCTCCCTGTCATTTTCTGTCCATTCCTCTTATATATTACTGCCTAGATGAAGCATGCTTGCTGCTAAGACAATCTTAATCCCAGAAGTTAATACTGCCCACTTGAAAAGCTAAATGATCTAGAAAAAATTATATATCAATTACCTCTCGGGACACACGATCCCAGACGACTGCTTCTCGATTGACATCTCCTGATGCAAACATAGAAACATCTGGAGAGTACCGTATGACAGTAATTGCGCCCCGATGTTTTTCAAGCACAGCCTCTTCTGTAAGTGTGTCACCCTTAACTGAAAATATGTGCAGTTTTCCATCCTGGCCACCCACAATGGCTTCACTTCCATCCGGTGAAATTGCACATGCTGTCACAGCAAACCCAAGATCAATGGTTGAGATTACTTTTGTACCTCTTAGAATGACAACTCCTGAATCAATTGAAACCAAGGCCAGTTCAGGAGACTGAAGGGCAAGGCTCAAGTCCTTAGGTTGACTGCCAATATCAACAGACTCTGCATCCCCATATTCATCTCCGAGTAGAGAACTTCTCCAAATCTAAGAAGGATTAACAAAAACGAGATTGTTATTAAACATACAATTTTGAAGAATGTAAGCATGCATCTTTCAAGTAGTAGTTACCGTATTGTCAAATCCAGATGAAACGATCTCTTCTCCAACAGCTGCAAAACATTTGATTTGAGTATTCACCTTCCGATCTAATCTACCACTATATCCAATACCTTGAATCCATTTCACTATTAAACCATCATAGCTACTGGACAATATAACTTTTGGGTTGCTTTGGAGCACAACAAGTGACGTAATGTTCTTCATATGTCCAGACAAAGATAGCGGGGCTTTATCAGGATCACTCGCTGAAAATAAGCTAATCGTTCCACCAAGAGAAACAGTGACAAGATAATCATTCTGCCAAAGACATCCAACCAGCATGTCTTCAACTCCACCTGAGCCTGGACAAGTTAATGTTTTCTTAACTGTTCCATTACCATCTTCGGAGATCTCCCATATCTTTGCAGTCTTGTCAGCAGATACAGTTAGTACCTGCCATTGATAAATCACTGCTTAATATAATATAGAACATGGAAACAAGAAACGAGACAAATTACAAATTTCACATGGAGCTTAGGGACTTGACTAATGAATTTTTTGGGTTGATTTAGTCTTAATTTACGTTTCTACAAGTTTGCTGGCTACAAATATAATTCTATTTTTATGTTTTGGCAGGTTTATGTTAGGGGAATATTGGTAATTGCAACTTGCTAGACATGGAATGTAGGGGTTATCCATGGGTCTTCTTATAGGTTAAATTATGTTTTGTGTCTTAGAAATGGTCTATGTTAAACTCAGAAACTCGGTCACAGTTTTTTAATTTTCCTAATAAAATTAATCCCCTAACCCTTTCCCCTGTATTTTTGGTCTTTATTTCAACACAATCGAAATTTGTTGTTTGATGTTGTTGGGTTGGCGGCATGGTTTTAAAAAGCGGCCGCAACTGTTACGTAACGCCGTTACGTAACGGTTGTGGTAGTTACCGCCACCCGTTACGGCCGCTTTTGCAGTGTGATTGAGATTCACAGATGTATCGGCCATAGCGGCTGATATAGCGGTCGTAACGGTGTTGTAACGGCCGTAACGGCCTATTACGCACCGTTATGTAACGGTTTCGAATTGCTTCTTTCGAAAAAACACAAAAAAAAAAATAATAATAATAAAAAAAGTTGAAAATGGGGGAAGAGAGAGAGAGAGAACAGGGAAGATGGAGGAACAAGAGATACAGAGAGAGAATAAAGAAGATGAAAAACATGTTATTGATTTGTTGAAATTGTAAGACCTATGTTATTCTATTCAGTTGCTATAGAAAGAAGAGGGAAGATGAAGAACATGTTATTGATTTGTTGAAGCTGTAAGACCTATGCTATTCTATTCAGCTGTTATCATTCAACTATTTTGTTTGTATGTGTCTATCTATATATTGTTTGAAAATAATAATAATAATAATAAGTGTGGTCATTATCTATTTGGCTTAATATATACATAGACTTGTATTTATTCTCTTACTTTTGTCATTATTTATCTTATATATAATAGTTAGTGATTGATTTTTTGTATAATATAAAGTCATTAATTATTAAAATAAAATGTAAAAAACTCAGTTTATAGTTATTTAAAAATATGAAATATATTGAATCAAACTTAAAAATTTATAAAAATTGATCAATATTTATTTTAAAACCCAATAAATATGATCATGGAAAAAAAATGTGCGTATCGGTAAGTTTTTTTCAAATTGTGCGAAAAATAAAAAAATTCACGGTTCCAGTTACCGCAACCGTTACGTTATGGCCTTTACACCCCGCAACCGCAACCGCGCCACCGCCACCGTTACGGCGACCGCAACCGCTTTTCAGAACCTTGGTTGGCGGTGAAGGTGCCAATGGTGGCTAGGGATGGACTTCGGTGGTGTGGCGGCAATGGGGAGTGTTTGTATTTGGTGGATAAGGGAGAGATGAGGGAGAGTTAGGTTGTGGGGTGGCTGAGATAGATGGGGTTGCAAGGGAGCAGGGAGAGAGAGAGAGAGTGAGAAGATGGAGTGTGATTCCTTTTAGAAAAATGTGATTCAATTAAGGAATACTGGTGCTTGGATATAAGTAATCTACGTTTAAGGGTATCATAGATATTTTAGTATAAACGTGATGGCCATTATTTTGCATCCATGAGATTAACAAACTGTATGTGTTAAAGTGTTAAATGAATTTAAATTTTGAGGTATGTACAGTGTAATCATGCCAAGACTATGAAGCTATCTATATTTCTTATTACTTGAGGGAAGTCTACATAATTTACCCTATTATTTATCTCTTATTAGTTAAGAAGTACGGACACGGATATGTGACACGACACGGACATACGGACACGCAAATTTTTAAAAGATGCAGGACACGACATGTTGGGGACATGTGTAAAACATATAATTTTATATATTTATCATATATCATATTTTTAAATATTTAATATTTATTTTATATCAAATATTTAATTTTATCAAATTTATTAACTTTAGGTATGCTATTTTAATAAAATAAATTAAAATTTTAATTTTTTTTGAAAAAAATGGTCCTCAGCACGCCACCAGTGTGTCTTAACGTGTCCCAAGTGTCCTAGCGTGTCCGGAGTGTGTCTAGCGCCTGTCCGTGTCTGACACATCTCGGACAACTATACGTCACCTCCGGAGAAATGTCCGTACTTCATAGCTTATTAGGTTACATATCATAACATTGGGTCAATATACATGATTTCTATATTTCTATAAGGTCCAGAACAATTTCAATTGCCAGTGCCAAAATTTCCCATTCTCAGAGTCGGAGTCTTAACAAAATTAGGTAATGTGGAACAGCCTATAAAGAGAGTTCTTTGTATGACTTAAGTTTATGCTTGTGTTATTTTGATTAATTCTTGCAAAAAGGTGAAGCCCTCTTCTTCACATAGCTGCAAAATTACTATCCCTCAATACTGTTCACAGACTCCCAACAAGTAACAACCCATATTTCAATCTCCAAAACCTTATCCAGCAAAGCATAAATCAATACCAGCCCTTTCCCTTGTATTTTGGTATTTATTTACACTTTATTTTTTTCTTTTCAAAACATCAAATTCCAGTAAATCAGCTATAAGCCAAAAGATACACTATCAGAGGACAAGATGGCCTTGAGAGGTCTAGGAACATTAAAAACCCTGAAATAGTTGTTATTAAGAAAATCCAGAAGTATACTATTTCAAAATTCTAGAAAATTACAACCCTTTTCGCTTCACAAACCCTAAAACTTTTCCTCCACCTTTCACAACCCTGAAAATACAAGAGTTTTTCTTGCCCTAAAGCCACCACAAATCCAATTGCAGGCAGCCATTATTCCAACTTTACCAATCTGATCCATATCAGAGATAGGAGGAGCATGTATTATACATTTCTAAAAGCAGACACAATAAACCATGAAATAATGGTTCACTGCTCAGTGAATAAGAAAGATAATGCTATTAAGGGGAAAAAGAAGAAAAAAATCAATCCTGTAGTTCCCCACACCTTCCCACTCCCTAAGTTTGTTGGTTATAATATTACTAACATGCAAAGAATCCAATTACAAAATTTAGCCAACAAATGATGTTCCGTGTTACACTAAGATGTTCTTATATAATTCAACAGATTCTCTGCAGATGCAATATTTCCATTTTTCTCAGTCTAAAACTAGCAAAATTTCTGGGGATAACAATTATTTAATAGAAAAATGATTTGGACCCCCACGACCCCCACTGGCCTGTGATTGGCCAGTTTTTTTTTTTTCCTCCAATCACCAACCCCCACGTGTGTGTGGGGGTGGTGGGGAGAGGGGGTATCAATCACTTCCGTATTCAATACATAAATGTCCACTGTGTTTGAACGTTTCAGAAAAAAAAATTCCAAAAAATCAAATCTGAAAATTTAATAACCAAATTTTGAACAGAAAATCAACTAGAAGCAGCTAGAGAATCCACACAACCCTGATTACCTGTTTACCATCAGGGCTCCAGCTAACAGCGTAAATGCTGCCTTTATGACCATCCTCTGAGGACAGCTCTCCAATTTTCTCTCCAGTTTTCGCATCATATAGTATACCCTTCTTATCAGAGCTTACCGTAATGAACTTGCTACCATCTGTAGAAAACCGTACACAATTGACAAAATTTGAATGATCCCTGCATATCAATAACATCACCTTTTTGTAAAGCATAAACTTTTGAAATGCATATTCAATTTTAACGCAATCATACTGTATGCAATTTGAATGATATAAAAAACCTTTTGTCAGTTACAACTCATCTGCATATACAGTGGGAGGTTTCATGGAGTTGAAAAGATCATTAAATGCTTGCTTTTATGACCATCCTCTGAGGACACCTTAGAATCATTTTTATTAATCTAATGGAATGATCACTTATTTCTCTTACTTTCTCTTGTAAACCAAAGTTCTTAATTCACACACGATTACACTATTCTCTGACAAATTTGGCAGGGAATGGTTTGCATTCAGTTTTTTCATCTGTTGTATTTGGATAAGTGTAACATAGGTTTATGCACCTAGGATGCAGTATTCCAAAACCACCCTTTGAGAAATGCATTACTTTGAGAGAGAGAGAGAGAGAGAACTAAAAAAATTACTTCAGATAAAACTGCATGCAGATAATTTCAACTCAGCAAACCTGTGAGATTGCTTGAATTTAAAAGGTGGGCCTTCATAAAAATTCACCAAAAAGTCCTCTCCACACGTGACAATGCGAAATGGCCTTGTTGGCTTAAATGCACAGCTCAGAACTCTTCTCGAATGGCCATCAAATTCTCCAACATTACTTCCCGAATCCCACCTATTCAAAACATTGTTCATCAACTACTGACGGCAATAGTGTTATTTGTAATATATGACAGAAAGGCACCAGTAGCATGAATATGCAGCACAACATAAAACTGCAGTTTATTTCAGATAGTTTTTGTGAAAGTGGGCAACTCATAATAGTGTGTGAGAGAGAGGTGACATTAAATACAAAAGTTCCAAGTTAAACCCCTTATTCCTTTCTCACCTCAAAAATATGCTTTCTCTTGCCAAGAGGCAAAGATGTAAGCTATGCAAAAAGGAAATATACTCTCACATGCTTAGATGGGGGTTGAAGCAGCTTACAATGTTAGTAGGGCGTAGGCATCTACTATGATATAGGTGTTTCAATTTGATGACGGCCTTTTGGTTGCTTAAATGGGAGTTGAAGCAACTTAAAATATTAGGGGGCATATATGATACAGGTGCTTCAATTTGCTGATGGTCTTTTGGTGATTATCTTAGATGACTAGAACCTATACTTTTGTGACAAAGGAGAGATGTGCCAACAAGCTTGGATGATTTTTATATAAATACTGCCAAATGTTCCATAATTAAGAAACCTTTAACCTCGTTACATCTTCATCTAGAGCCAACACATTCACTAGCCACCAATACAAAATCGAAATCTGACTCCTAGTCACAAGCATGTTCTCCTTTCTGAAATTACCTCCTTGTTCATAAAGCCTAGCACTTCTACCTCACAACTTGGACTTTTGCCATCAAGGTATTTAAGTATGGCTGTTTGGGATCCCATATGAAGCATCCCCAACACCAAACCTTCCAAAGAATTGATCAGTCTCAATTATTTCATTCATTGACAAAGTACAATGCAAACTTTTTTGTTCCCTAATTTATCTAGTTTTAAGACAGTTTTTTAACCTCATCTTTCCTGCATAGTTTTACTCACAAAATGCAGATGAAAATGCTATATGTGGACGTATACCATCATGAGAGAGGTGGAGAGAAATAACTTCGACAAGTGTTTTAGAACATCACTGAAGATGCTCTTAATAAAACTAACCTTTTAATATTTAATATACAGATAAATTGATTTCACCCAAATTCTGATCCTGATCAAAATAAAATACAATTACATGAAACAGACCAGTTATAACTCACCATCATTGAAACCACCAAATTTCATGATTCATGCATTTTCCAATTTCCAAGTAGTGCAACTACAACATTACCAGCCTGTTTAAATAGATTAATCTCACTCAATATTCAAATAATAATCAAGTCCAATCAAATACACTTTCACTCGAAATTCACCAAATCAACATTACAAGAGCCAAATAAGCTAATCAATTTCAACTACCGTATTCGACAAAAATGGCGAGAGTAGAGCTCAAACTCAAATGAAAGCGAACATTCATCCAAAATTCCGATGCTAATCAAAAATAAAATACGATTACATGAAACATTCATCAGTTACTGCCACTCACCATCATCGAAACCACCAAATTTCATGATTCATGCATTTTTCACACAGCACAATTACAAAATTACCGGCCTGTTAATATAGATTAATCTCACTCAATATTCAAATAACAATCAAGTTCAATCAATTGCAATTTCACTCGAAATTCACCAAATCAACATCACTAAAATGGCGAGATTAGGGACTCACATGAAAGCGCGAACAAAGGACTTGCCCTTGGCTTCACCAGAGGCGACGATCCTCATCCCGTCGGGAGACCACTGAAGATCGTCGATGCGACCAGACAAAACCTTGAACTCGTTCTTGAGGACGAAGTCGTTGTGAGTCCCCCAGATCCTGACGGTGCCGGAGACGTCAGCGGAAGCGATCCACTCGGCGTTGGGAGAGTACCGGGCCACGGTGGCCTGATACGCGTGCTCGCCGTAGACGGCGACCTGGAGAGGGCGGTCGAGGTAGCGGATGATGACGGAGCGGCCGTTGCAGTAGAGGATCGAGTTGGATTTGGGGTCGCCGGAGATGAGGATGCCGCGGCCGCGCTCCGTCGACGGCACGCACGCGTAGGTCTCCGAGAGCTGCGCCATTGGTTGCTTTTTCACTCTATCTCTCTCTAGTTTTTTCTCGCTCTGTGTATCGTGGGGGAGTGGGTTTCTGTTTTTTTTTTTGGGGGGGTGAGAGAGAGAAATGGAAGTGTATAGTCTATAGATTGGGAATTTGTTAAGATCCAAGAAGCTCTCGTATCGTGAGACCAGGCAGGCACATGGTCGAGGTGAAGAAGGGTGGTGTCATTTCGTTCAACCCCCGCGCAATGTAGTTAACTAGTTATCAATTTTTCTTTTAAATTAATTTATCAATTTTTCTTTTAAATTAATTTTATTTTTAGGTGCAACCCTAATAAATTTCTAAATGTAATTTTATAAACAGTCTAATTTTTTTTTTATTTTTATTTTTTATGCACCTCAAGGTTTTCCTAGAGTGAAAATTATGTAAAAGAGTAGTTACTTGCATGTTTTTATTTAATTTTTAAGGGATAAAAATCAATTTTTTTAAATGTAAAATTACATATTTAGGTAATCCCCATTATAAAGGTTTTGAATTTTCTCTCTTTTTGGAATAAATTCCACATTACGAACAAAAGTATAACGCTCCAATGTAACACACTAAAAAATACCTTCACGTATTTTTTTCAAATGTAATAACGTAACACTTCAAAAAAATTCTTTAGTATAATTTTTCCAAACGTAACATTCCAATCAATATATTTTCAAATATAACACTCCAATGTAACACACAAAAACACTAAAAAAACTCTTTATTGTATTTTTTCCAAACGTAATATTCACAGTTTGAAATTATACATTCGTCCAAAATTTACTAAGGATTTTTTATAATGCTTTGAAATGGTTTGAAGAATCCCACATTATATTTTTTGGAGTATTACATTGGGGAAAAATATCCTAAGGAGTTTTTTTGTATGGTACATTGGAGTGTTACATTAAGGAATTTTTTTAGAGTGTTATATTGGAGTGCAATGTTTGGAAAAAATATACTAAGAATTTTTTTTGGAGTGTTACGTTTGAGTGTTACAATTCAAAATTATGCATTTGCCCAAAATTTACTAGGAGTTTTTGTACTCCTTTTGAAATGTTTGAAGAATTTCACATCCTTTTAGAATGTTTGAAGAATTTCATATTCCAAGTCATTTTTGTACTCCTTTTAAAATATTTTCCAAATAAAAAAGATTCCCATATAAAAATTTATCCCAAATTTGATTCTCATATATTGTGTATTTTATCTTTCTAGCACAAAAGAAAAAAAAAAATAGAAATAAGGGTATAATCGTAATATATTAAATCTACATTTCCAAAATTAATAGGACTAATTGGTCTATAAGAAAATCATTGGGATTAAATGGATCATCATTCCTCAAAATAGGATTTGTAGGTAAATTTTCTTTTATTTTTTTTGAGGGAAAAAATCAATTTAGTTGTCTTAAAGGGGTATAAGGTATTAGATTTAAGGTAGAATATTATTTGATGATAAGTACACGTCGGAAAAGTCGTTAGTGATGGTGAGATAGAGAAATGCGTTATATTTAACAGATAGGTTGTTAAATAAGTGTAGAGATGACAATTTGAAACCGGCCCGACGGGGACTCGATCCCTTGATCCAGATTTGAACGATTTTTCTCCGAAAAATATCCTCGATGGGACGGGAATGGTATTAAAAAATCAATCCCCAATCAATTTTGGGCTGGGGACGATGATAAGTGTCTAAGTCCCTGCCCCGTTTGTCCTCGACGTGATATATATATACTTTCTATGTACTCTCTCTCTCTTCCTCACCGTCTCTCATCTCTCTCTCTCTTTTTCTCACTCACTCAGAGTCTCTCTCACCCTCGCACCTCTCCTCCTCCTCAACGCCACCGCCTCTGTCGTCTTGCACCGTCGTCCTCTTTTGTTGTTCGTTGCAATCATCGTCGTCCATCGTTGTAGGTCTCCTCCGTCGTTCGTCGCAGTCACCATCACCGATCTCAGATCTGTTTGATGACACACATATCTCAGATCTGTGTTGATGTGTATGTATATATGTACGTGCGTGTGTCTCTATTTGTCTCTTTTTTTTTTTGGGTAGTTGATGCAAACAGTATTGATGATGATTTTGTTGTTGATGATAATTTTGTCACCACTTGTTGTTGATGATTTTGTTGATGATGTTCTTGATGATTTTGTTGATGTTGAAAGTTCTTGTTGATAATGTTGTTGAAACAGATTTGGGCCGAGAAATTTTCAGGGTCAGGGAAACCTGATCCCCGTTAGGGGACAGGGACGGGGACGGGGACGGGAATGGTGACAAGTTCTCCGCCGGGGATTGGGGTTAGGAATAGGAAAATTTTTACCATCGGGGACCGGGGACGGGAAATGTGATCCCCGACCCAATGATAATAGAGATGCGAGAATGAAAAATCTAAAAGTCCTTGAGATATTGATTGGTGATTATGTTTTAATTTTAAACAGAAAATATCAATCAAACAATCAACAATAAATTGACACAATGATTTAACGTTAAAAAAATCACAATTGGAGAACCTTCAATTGTGAAAAAAAACCACAAGCCAAAGCCACAAAACAATCCACTAAAAAGACAAAAAGGAATTACACACGAGTACCCTCAATTACCCAGTGAATCCACTGTTGGAATTATGATTTTTATAGGCTTATTTTGGGTAAACTTTGAGCCTAAAATTGAGTGGGTCCCACATGTCTTTTGGGGTGGGTCTAAAGAGGTGACGTGTTCATTGCTGCATGGCAAGTCACACGGTGAAGATGGTTCGTCAAAACCATTTATGAGTGAATGAGAAGTTGACGTCATTTTCGGATTCGTGGAATAGAAAATTGAAGAAGTAAAATGTGGGTTTCCTTGAAATGGTTATCCCACATTGGAAACTTCAGAGAACTTATGTATGTATATAAGTTCTAGGTGGTAACACTTGGGTTTGGCTCCAAGGGGCACCCCAAGTTTGTAGGAGGGAGGAGTTATGGACAAAGTGAACCTTGGCTCAAACCACCACATACGTGTCGTCCATTCGTCTAACCGGGCGGGCGCGGGTGTGGGTTGTGGGTCGAGTCGGTTCTAACATTAATTTTTTGGACAAGATTTATTTGAATTTTTCCAAGAATTCTTGCAGAAAAATTATTTTTTTCTAAACAAAATTATTCAAATTTTTCGCCAAATCTGAATTCAAATTTTCTGTCCAATGAAACCTCATTCGGTCCAATTTCCAACAGATTTGAAACTGCACAGTTCGGATAGATTCAAACAGTTCCAGCAGATTGGACAGATCAAACAATTCTAGCAGATCTGTTGAAATTTGAACTGCACCTGTTCAATTCAAAATTGTATCTGTTTGGTTTGAATTTCTTACATGTTCAACCCTATAAATACCAGGCCATTTCCAGCAGTCAAGGCATTCTGAAAATCATCTTCTTGCCTTCCTTTTGCTGTCTTTCATACATATATTCTTGGTGTAGATCATTGTATCCTGAGAGATAGACACCATTCATCCTTAAATCACCGAAGCGGGGCGAATCTGTCTTAAGGACAGAGTGTCACACACTCGACTTGATCTTTTAAAGTTTTATTCGGCTTGGTAAAATAAATTCTGTAAGTAATTTATTTTTATTTATTTAATTTGGTTCAAGTGATTTATTTTACACAGAAGATTGTTCTAACAATCTTAAGACATAGTCAAATTATTCTGTTTATACAGAATTTTTCGTTTGTTTTCTTTTCTTCATTTCTTTTTACATAAATTATTTTCTGTGATTTTATAAAATAATATTCTAGTTGGAAAAACAAATACCAGTAATATACTGTTTGAAAAATAGTAGTAATATACTGTTTATTTTCTTTGACAACTAGTAGTAATATACTGGTAGTCATAAACAATTTAAAATATTTATTTGTGAAGTTGGTCAAAAATTAATTTTGATTTTTAGAAATAATTTCTAAATGTTCATTAATTAAAATTCTGTTTTCATTATTTTAATTTTTGAAGTGTTACAGAAATTTAATTTTCTGTGTGGAATTAATTTGTTTAAATAAAATTTTATTTTATTTTCAAATTAATTGAAAATAAAAATTACAATTCTTGTTTCTTTTATTTTTACAGAATTTAATTTTGTGATTTTGGTTTAAATTTTTTGTGTAGTATAAAATTCTAATTCTAATTTTGTTTTATAATTTAGAATTCATGGCTACTGAAACAAGTACTGGTGTGGTGGTTGCAATTGCTCTAACCCCTCTTCCTGTTGTGACTGTGCCAGTCAATCACGATGAAAAGTCAGAGAAGTTCTCAGGAACTAATTTTAAAAGATGGTAGCAGAAAATGCTTTTTTATCTTATTACTCTCAACTTGGCACGTTTTTTCTGTGAGGATGCTCTTACTCTGAAAGAGGATGAAACCAACCGGCAAGTGGTTGCTGCAGTCGATGCCTGGATTCATGTTGATTTCCTTTGCCAGAACTACATCTTGAATAGACTTGACAACACATTATATAACGTCTACAGTCCTATAAAAATGACAAAGGAACTTTGGGAGTTTTTGGAGAAAAAGTATAAAACAGAAGATGCTGGCTCAAAGAAATTTGTGGTTGGCAAATTCTTGGATTTTGTGATGGTCCCGGTGTCTCACATCGGGAATGGAGGGGGAGTTCCTGGGCTATAAAAGTAAAAACCTAGACCCTTATATAGCATCGAGGCCTTTTCCCAGGTGGTGAAATCCCTATTAGAACTCCCCAGTTAAGCGTGCTTAGGCTGGAGTAGTTCTAGGATGGGTGACCCACTAGGAAGAACAAATCCGTGCGGGCGTGGCCCAAAGCGGACAATATCGATGACGTGTAAAGGGTCGGGGCGTTACAAATAATTGTAAGGCCCCGGTGTCTCACATCGGGAATGGAGGGGGAGTTCCTGGGCTATAAAAGTAAAAACCTAGACCCTTATATAGCATCGAGGCCTTTTCCCAGGTGGTGAAATCCCTATTAGAACTCCCCAGATAAGCGTGCTTAGGCTGGAGTAGTTCTAGGATGGGTGACCCACTGGGAAGAAAAAATCCGTGCGGGCGTGGCCCAAAGCGGACAATATCGATGACGTGTAAAGGGTCGGGGCGTTACACTTTGGGAGTTTTTGGAGAAAAAGTATAAAACAGAAGATGCTGGCTCAAAGAAATTTGTGGTTGGCAAATTCTTGGATTTTGTGATGGTTGATTCAAAGACTGTGATCAGCCAAG